GACACAAACTTTGAAACTCCATGTATCCAAATAGAGAGTCAGTCCTGGAGACATGACTCAATGGTGGGGCAATTATGTAGTATAAAGCAGCTAACATTCAATCTACAGCATAGAAAATAAATAGAACTTTAAAGCATCTAGCTTATAGGCAGCATCAAAGTAAGCCTGAGAAAATGCACTGTGTAGGCTTGGCAGTATGATGACCCAAATCAGCTTCCTTAAGCAGAGGTCAAGGAACAAGAATCAGGGCAGAAAGAACAGTTAAATACTACCTCTTTTAGGTTTCTACACTTTTACTCTGTCATTTTCTCTCACATTTGACCCAGTCTGGGTAGATGATGAATTGGATAATGAGAGTTTTACAGAAAAAGTAATGCTTAATCTATATCTTAAAGGAAGGTGCAAAAGTAATAGAAAGTACATCTCAGATCCAGGAGCCCAGACCTCAAGACCCCAATGCTTTCAAAACAAAGCCAGTATTCAACATGTCTTGTCAAGAAGTATCAATAGGAAAATTGCAAGAGAGTAAGCTGGAGAGTTACCAGAGCCAAAAGAAAAAGTAGGCTTTGTCATTTGATAGTTTCAGAATGAACAAATAATGTAGTTCAAATGTGTAGGATTGGGTATATATTGAACATTCAAGGGGATTACTTGAAGCTAAGAGAATCCAGAGCCACTGTGGTATAGAAATTGAAGTCCTAGGTTCAGATAATCATTTGTGGGGTGGAAAACTGAAAATTTCTGATAAACACTAACAGGAGACAGACACTAATATGAGGCTCTTTTAAAGAAAATAAGCAACAATCAGAGAAGGTGAAGAAAATCAGGTAAAGAAGCCTCTGCCTAGTTTCCCAAATTCCTCCTTGATCATATTCCCAAATAAAATTTTACTTGTGCCCATTAGCTGAATTGAAAATAGTACATCATTCAAGTAAGAAAAATGACCTGCATATACTAGAAGCATCTCATGAGTTCCTGAAACTATAAAACAAATTCAAATAAAGTGCAATTAAATGATTAAACTTCTGATTCTAGTATGATGCACCTTGCAATCTCAGTGTTCTGATATTACAAAGCTCACTGTTTTGGTGTTACAAAACACAATTTTTTTTGGTAGTCCTGGGGTTTGAACTCAGGGCCTGGGCACTGTACCTGAGCTGCTTTTTTTGCTCAAGGCTAGCACTCTACCACTTGAGCCAGAGTGCCACTTCCAGATTTTTCTGTTTATGTGGTACTGAGGAATCGAACCCAGGGTTTCATGCATGCTAGGCAAGCACTCTATCACTAAGCCACATTCCCAGCCACAAATCACAAATTGTATCGAGGATGCTGGGCTTAACTGAATAAATAGGGGTCAAATCATACTGAAAGCCAGTGTAAATTAGGGTTTAGAAAAACAATTAAAGAGAGGCAAATTCAAGAAAAAAATAAAATAGGTATCTGAGGTATATTTCAATATCAAGAAAACGAAAAGGCCCTTGGAAAAGCCAAGGTTCTGTGTGAACTCACCACTCCAACACATTCCTATTTTGCAAAAATGATCCTCTATATTATGTGTTTTCAAACTCAAAGATAAACTGAATTATTGTATTTTATGCCATCTTATAACAAATTTAGGTGTAAAAACTATTCTTAGCTCATTCTACAACTAAGCAGAATTGTAACTATCACTTAGATTTGTGTTAAAAATGATGTATTTTTATAAAGTATGGTCTGTGAAGGAAGGGTGCAGTACTCGGGGATTGAACTGAGGGCTGTGTGCTCATTAAGCAGGAGATTTACCACTCCAACTATGGCTCCAGGCTTAAATGACCGTCATATACACACATACACACACACAGAGAAAATGGAGTCTCACAGATTTTTTTTTTCCCTTTGGCCTGGGCTGGCTTGGAACTTCAATCTTCCTAATCTCAGCCTCTGGAGTAGCTAGAATTAGAATTTCTTGTAGAAGCCTCAGGTGCACCAGCCAGTCTTTTTTTTTTTTTCTGGTCATGGGACTTAAACTTAGGGCCTTGTCCCTGTGCCTGAGTTCTTTTTTTTTTTGCTCTAGGCTAGCGCTCTACCACTTTGAGCCACAGCTCCATTTCTGGTTTTTAGGTGGTTAATTGGAGATAAGAGTCTTACATACTTTCCTGCCTGGGCTGGCTTCGAACCACTATCCTCAGATCTCAGAATCCCAAGTAGCTAGGATTATAGGTGTGAGCCACTGGTGCCTGGTTAGCCATAGTCATATTTTAAAGATGAAGTATTAAGCTCCTCCTCCTCCTACTCCCCTCTCACTTACTATATGAAGTTTTATTCTCTGATTAATATGAATTCATCGAAATAGTTTTTTCAGGCCCTAACTACCCTCAATAAGGCAAAATGTATGAGTGTGGATATTCAACTCATTTAGAAGAAATCTTCTGGAATAAGAATAGTCAGAAACTTACTGACTGGGTAAGTCCTAAATAATCATTTACAATTTTAAACCTAGTATAAAGTGCAAAAATCAGACTATTCCCTACTTGGTATTCCATAAACAGTTTATAGATATAATAAACAAATATATTCTCTCAAATATACTTTTCAAAGTACAGTATTGAGATTTCTTAATTTTCAATTGATACCAGTTCCTTACAATTTAACTGTTCTTAAAACTGGATGACTTTTTTTTTTTTAATGTAAATAACCTCCTCCAAATTATACGTTTGGGAGGCAGTAAAGCATTGCGATGAACAACATGAGCTTTGCAGTATGACTGACCTGGGTTCCGCTCTGTCTCCATTTACTAGCTGTGTAACCTGGGACAAGTTATTTAACCTCTCTAAGTCTCAGTTTCTTTATCTGTAAAATAGAGATAATAACAGTATCTATTTCATAGTGTTGTTGTGAAGAGTAAGTGAGATAATGCAGGCATAGTAAAATGCCTGGCACTTACTATGTGTTCCACAACTTTCAGATACTATGTTTTAGAAGCTTAAAATTATAATAGCATGTTCTCATGAAGATCTATAATGGTAGAATACACATGTCCAAGATTTTCTGCTAAGCTGATCAAAGTAAGCAAACTTAAAAGGTTCTCCACCTGTAAAAGCTATGGGAATGATTTTTCCTTGGAGAAATGTGTTAAGTTTTCAAGAAAGCAATAGATTACATTCTAAAAAACAATTTTTAAATTAAGAAGAATCCATCTATATTTAAAGTATATAGATTCTCACAGTTAAAAATCTCAAGTTATCATACTGTAAATGATAATTCATTTTTGAAAACATTTAACATTTGCTTCATAATATTTTATACTCCTGTGAAGTAAGAAAAAGTATTATTCTCTTTTCTTTAAAGAAGATAATGACATTCTGCTATGAGGACACTAAAAGACATGAAAGGTAACAGTTCAAATGGAATTGAGTTTAGTTTCTATAACTGTTAATCCTTACTTCAGGATGAAATTGAATCCAAAAGCATATTTTTTCTACATAAGAAGTTCCAATTAAATCTCTCCAGGTCTCTTGAAAGTCATCACCTACACAAAGAAACCATTCCTCTGAATAATTCAGAACCATCTACTATCTTTTTTTTTTTTTTGGTCAATCGTGGGGCTTGAACTCTGGGCCTGGGCACTGTACCTCAACTCTTCAACTCAAGGATAGTGCTCTATTACTTGAGCCACAGCACCACTTCCAGTTTTCTGGTGTTTTATTGGAAATGAGAGTTTCATGGACTTTCCTTCCCTAGGCTGGCTTTGAACCATGATCCTCAGATCTCAGCCTTGTGAGTAGCTAGGATTACAGGTGTGAGCCACCAGCGCCCAGCTCTATCATTTTTGAAGAAATAGAATATACCTCATCTGTGTCTGTAAAATCAAGATCTCCAAAACTAATCTTATGAATTATAAAGTAGGTAATTAAAATTGTTCTGTAAGCTAAGATAACTTTAAAGTCTAATTTCAACATAAACCTTTTAAAGATTATCTATTAACTATGCCTGAAAAATCTAACATTCTATCATGTTTGAAATATGTTTTAGGTACAATAATGTTCATACAATCACTATGCAAATGCTCTTGCTTTATTTAATTTTTTAAAAAATCACTGAGTAGGGGTGGAAAGGTGGCTCAGTGGTAGAGGGCTTGCCTTGCATGCCTGAGGCCTGGGTTCGATTCCTTAGCACAATATAAGCAGAAAAAGTCAGAAGTAGCACTGTGGTTCAAGTAGTAGAGTGCTAGCTTTGAGCTGAAGAGTTGAGGGACAGCCCAGAGTTCAGGCCCCATGACTGACTAAAAAAAAAAAAAAAGATAAAGATTAGAGCATGTCTGCCCCACAGCAGGCCCAAGGAAGATTGTCACTTGAAAGTGGTAACATTTAAGTGGATGACACACAATCTTGCTTCCAACTTCCCTCTTCCATTCCCAAAGCTAGTCCAGGGCCAAGAAGAATGCCCTTGGTTTGTGGGTCCAGTATTGTTTACCTCATTGTTTTTAATAAAAATATAATTATTAAAGATAACCTTTAAGTACCTGAAGATATAGTTCTGCTTAGAAAAAAAATTTAATACTTTTTATTATAAAAATAGTGTACAAAGTGGTTACAGTTACATGAGTAAGGTAATGAGTACATTTCCTATCAAGCATTGTTACCTCCTCCTTAGTTTATGCTTAGAAAAATTTAAATTTTCCTAAGATATTTTTCATCTGTCCTATCAAAATACCCTATTCTCAAGAGTTGCACATAAAATTTTCTACATCAATCAGGTAATATGGCACTAAATCAGAATCTCTCTGGCATTACAGTAGTAATTCATTTAACTAAGGAAGTTCTTAAGATGATAAAAAGCCCGATCCTTTAATTTTTATCACATAAGTCAACCACCTACCATACCACATTTATACACATCTCCACCTTTGCATGAACATTTTTCATCAGTTGCTCTTCAATTCATATTTATAGATTTATAATCATGTATTATAGTACACATTTTAAAACATTACTTTAAAAAGGGAAAAAATTATCACATACCTGTCCATCTAAGTCGAATGCTAAACAAGCTATACCATGTGTATGAACATCCTTTAGAACTGATATGGTCTGCACAGTATATGAATCCCAAACACAGATATAAGGCTCTTTCCCAACTTGTCCTGTTGCTACTAATACTCGTTCAGGATGCAGTGCAAGACTACAAAATAAAGAATAAAATAAATAATAAGACTTAGAAGTTGCTATTTGAGCTTTTATAGTCTTTATATATATATAACATATATATATGCCAATATGCACATTATAGTTCATTCATCTTAACTAATTTGGATTTAAAATAATTTCTATAAAGTCTTTTCTAAGAATTACTACTCTTAGTAGTATAACAAGCAGTTAAAGATAAACTAGTTTTACCCTTCATTATCCCTATATGGTAAGTGTACATAAACTTCTCTTCTTTTTTTTTGGGGGGGGAGGGTCCGGTCATGGGGCCTGAACTCTGGGCCTGGGCGCTGTCCCTCAGCTCTTCAGCTCAAGGCTAGCGCTCTACCACTTGAGCCACAGCACAACTTCTAGCATTTTTTCTTTTTGCTTATGTGATGCTGAGGAATTGAACCCAGGGCCTCAGGCATGCAAGGCAAGCGTTCTACCACTGAGCCACCTTCCCAGCCTGTATATAAACTTCTCAAGAAAAGAACTTTCATATCAACAGAACTAAAATACTAAATTTGTAGCAACTCTACTATATTGGATTTTCTCATTTGGTATTATCTATATTTAAGTCCGTCTTCCATTTGACTATTACTTATTCATTCTAGTGGTATTAGGGTTTGAATTCAGGTCCTACTAGGCAGGTCCTATACTACTGGAGCCATATCCCATTATTTTTATGACATAGCATTAGACCAAATCTGTGTGTGTGTGTGTGTGTGTGTGTGTGTGTGTGTGTGTGAAAGAGAGGGGAGAGAGAACACTCAGGGCCTCATCCTCCTTCTCATCCCAATCCCCACTCAAGGCTTAGTGCTCTACCACTTCTAGCTTTCTACCTTCTACCACATACCTTCTACCACGTACAGCTTTTTTTTTTTTGTCGGTCGTGGGGCCTAAACTCTGGACCTGGGCACTGTCCCTCAACTCTTCAGCTCAAGGCTAGCGCTCTACCACTTGAGTCACAGTGCCACTTCTGGCTTTTTCTGCTTATGTGGTGCTGAGGAATCAAACCCAGGGCCTCATGTATGCAAGGCAAGCACTCTACCACTGAGCCACCTTCCCAGCCCCCACTTACAGCTTTTTGCTAGTTAACTAGAGATAAATCTTGGATTTGTTCAGCCTTGCTGGCTTGGAACTACACTACTTAGGTCTCAGCCTCCTAAATAGCTAAGATTACAAGCATAAGCCACTGTCTCCCAGCTTAGACCAAATCGTAATGGCACTTAGTAGCACTACAGTAATATTATGTAAATTACAAATCCTCTGTAATAAACAGAAAGGTCATTTATGATTCACAGAAAGTGATCTATGAGCATTTAAAATTAAGACAAAGATTTAACAGTTTGTGAGGATTTATGTACATTAACACAGGCATAGAATAAAATAAATTTCTACTTGATTTTTTCTAAAAATAGGTTTTAAATATCAGATTCATCTTTAAGATGGAAAATAAATCATTTTTAGCATCAGAATGAAGGAACTAAAAAGGGAAAGTGAGGAAGCTATTAAAACAAAATCTCTGGATTGGATGATGATGGTAAGAGAAAGGGAAAGGTCTAAGGTGACTCTAGCTTGTGCACTGAATTAGTTTGGGGTGGAATTTATCATGTCAGGGAATATAATAGGAGAAAAGATGAGTAGGAATGTAAAATTGACCCAATATATGAAAATCAACAAATACATATATAAAATAAAACATAATCTCCCATATACATAGACACAAAAAAATTCTTAATAAAAATCCAACCCCATTCACAATAAAACACACACACACACACACACACACACACACACACACACACCTGCCAGGCCCCGGTGGCTCATTCCTGTAATCCTAGCTACTCAGGAGGCTGAGATCTGAGGATCAAAGCCAGCCAGGGGAAGGAAAGTCCATGAGACTCTCATCTCCAATTACCCACCCGAAAATTGGAAGTGGTGCTATGGCTCAAGTGGTAGAGCACTAGCCTTGAGCTGAAGAGCTGAGGGACAGCACTTAGGCCAAGAGTTCAAACCCCACAACCAAAAAAACCACCCACAAACACACACACACACACACACACACGCACACACACACACACACACACAACCAACAATCTGATAACAGCATCTACAAAAACCTACAATTAACAACATATTCAATAATGAAAGCCTGATAGTATCAAACTAAATATATTCAATAATGAAAGCCTGATAGTATCAAACTAAGTATAGGAACAAGAAAAGGATGTCAGCTCTTACAATTTTATGCAGCATGATACTAAACTGTCTAACCAGGACAAGTAAGACAGAAAGAAACAAAAGAGAGAAGTAAAACAGTCTCTGCTTGTACATTGTATTTTTTTGTCAAGAAAATCCTAAGAAATCTACGAGCAAAAAAAGAGCTATAAAAGAGCTAAGCAAGGTTGCAGGAGATAAAAACCAACATAAAAAGTTAGTTTGGGTATGATGGTATTTGTTTGGAATTCCAGGTACAAAGGAAGCAGAAATGATCACATTTTGAGACAAACATAAGCAAAAAAAAAAAAAAAAAGTGAAACCATATCTCAAAACAACAACAAAATATACACACACAACAAAAACAGAAAACAACAACAAAAAAAAACCCAAGCTGTGCTGTGCTAGGTTGTGTAGTTCACATTTGTAATCCCAGCTATGAAGGGAAGATACACAAGAGAATCCCAATTCATGCTGGTTCCAGGCAAAAATAGGAGACTCTATCTGAAAAATAAGCTAAAAAGCAAAAAGGGATGGGGTGTTGCTCAATAAAGCACCTGTCTAGCAATCATGAAGGCCTAAGTTCAAACTCCAGTTCCATATATACAAAAACAATTCAGTTCCATTTCTATAGACAATTTAAAATTAAATCAGAAAACAATCCAATCTACAGTAGCATTAAAAAAATTGGGAATAAGAAAATATTATAAAAGTTGCAGCTGCATGCCAGTGTCTCACACCTGTAATCCAAGCTACCCACAAGGCTGAGATCTGAGGATCCTGGTTCAAAGCCAACCGGGCAGGAAAGTCCGTGAAACTCCTTTTTTTTTTTTTTTTGGTCGTTCGTGGGGCTTGAACTCTGGGCCTAGGCGCTGTCCCTGCACTCTTCAGCTCAAGGCGAGCACTCTACCGCTTGAGCCACAGCACCACTTCTGGTTTTCTAGTGGTTTATTGGAGTCTCACGGACTTTTCTGCCCTGGCTGGCTTTGAACCTCGATCCTCAGCCCCCTGAGTAGCTAGGATTACAGGTGTGAGCCACCGGGGCCTGGCTCCGTGAAACTTTTATCTCCAATAAAACACCAGAAAACCGGAAGTGGCACTGTGGCTCAAGTGGTAGAGTGCTAGCATTGAGCTGAAGACCTGAGGGACAGCACTCAGGCCCAGAGTTCAAGCCCCCAAATCAACCAAACAACAACAACTTGTACACTGTAATCTACAAAATTCCACTGAAAGTCACACTAGTGGCTAAGGCCTACAATTCTAGCTATCTGAGAGACAGAGAGGATTGTGGTTTGAGGCTAGTCCCAGTAAAAAGTTTCCAAGACCCCATCTCAACCAACAGCTGAGCATGGTTGTACATACCTATCATTCCAATCACCTGAGAAGTTAAGATCCTGAGAATAACAATTCCAGGCCAGCCAGCCCCCAGCAGGGAGAGGGGGACATTTGTGGGATCACATCACAACAGAAAAGGCTGTGTATGGTGGCACATGCCTGTCATCCCAGCTATGGTGGTAAGTATAAATAGGAGGATCATGGCTTAGGCTGACCCAAGCAAAAATTGAGACCCTATCTCAAAAATATCGAGAGCAAAAAGGGTGGCTCAAGTAGTAGAGTGCCCGTCAAACAAGCGCAAACCCCCTAGTTTAAACCTCAGTACCATTAAAAAAAAATCTAGATAAATGGGCAAACACCTCAGGTTCTACGCTTGAAAGAATATTCGTAAAATGGCAATACTTCCTAAATTAGTCTAAAATCTCTATAATTCCTGTCAAAAGTACCAGTTGCTTTTGTAGCAATTCTAACAATTCTAATATTCAGAAAGACCCAGAATAGTCAGAACAATCTTGAAAAGAACCAAGTTGAAAAGAATATACTTTCCAATTTTAAATTTATCAACTTACCACAAAACTATAGGAATCAAGACGGCATAGCACTGTCATAAAGATAATAAAATCAAATTAAAGGCCCAGAAATTGTTGATCAACTGATTTCAACAAGTGTGGTACCAAGACAATTCAAGGTTGATAAGAATGGTGTTTCCAAAAGATGTAATTTGGACACCTGAATATCCACATGTGAAGAATAAATTTGTACCATATCTCAAGCCACATACAAAAGTCAACCCAATATAGATCAAGAACCTACATATAAAAGCAAAAATTATAAAATTCTAAGAAGGAAGTATTAAGCATACATCTTACAGACTTTAAAAGAAGCAATGATTCTCTTACATGTGACACCAAAAGTGACAAAAAAAATTAAAATAGACAATCAAAAAATTTGAGAAGGAAATCAGTAGGAGAAAGAAGGAAGAAAGGAGAGGGAGAGTAGGGGTGAATATGATTGCAGTACATTATATGAATGCAAATAGCCTAGCTAAATCACTAAAAACTACAAAAGGAGGGGGAGTAGAGGAGGTATGAAAGAGCAATAGAGGGGGTAAATTTGGACAAGTACATTATATGCCTCTATGGTAGTATCAATGAAACAGGTCCAATCAATATATGCTAATTTAAAAATCTGAAAATCAGACTTCAGTGTTTCTAAGAATGGCCATGAAGAATATGAAAATACACCAGACAATGGAAGAAAATATTTGCATAGCATAACTAATCTAAATTGGCAAATATATCCAGAACATAAAAGGTCTTATAGTAATTCCTGTTAGGCCTTAAAAAGTTACTAATCTATTAGAACCCAAATAATAAACACAAAAATATTGATTCATCATATTATTAATGTTAAACATTCTAAATTGCTTTTCCAAATACAATTTTGATTTGCACTGAATAAATGAAGCCTATTTACTATAACTACTGAGCTGTCAGAAACCACTTTTATTAGATTACAGCGAGACTTGTATTAATTTCTTTCTTAAGAACACCATACCACCTACTACAATGGAAGAAAAGAACTCTACTGTCTTAAAAAAGGAAAAGCTATAATACAAAGCAATGAATTACTATTCAAATCTGCAATCATATAGTATGGTATACTTCTCAAATTATTTCAGATGCATTGTCATTTCAGCTTATCATCACTTAAGGAGACACATTCATTATGTTTTAACAACAACAAGGAACTAGATAATGGTATACTTCTCAAATTATTTCAGACGCATTGTCATTTCAGCTTATCATCACTTAAGGAGACACACTAACAACAATAAGGCACTTCAAATGTACAAAATACACAAACAATGGGCCCTGTCACTCTCATAATTAAACAAGAGTGAAGTACCAAAATACACCAAGTTAACCTCATTGTATCAATGGTCTTCACTGGTCTAAATGATTTTAAAACTTTTGACAAGATCCACCACCTTTAAAGGTGACAGGACAAACTTGCAAAAAATTATGGATGGGCAGTAACTGGAAAACAAAATGTAAAAGTGATCTTATTCTTTTAAAAGACAACTGGTTGCTGGGCTCATGCCTATAATCCTAGCTAATCAGCAGGCTGAGATATGAAGATTGTGGTTTGAAGCCAGCAGGAAAATCTGTGAGACTCTTATCTCCATTAATCAAAAAAAAAAAAAAAAGCCAGAAGTGGAGCTGTAGCTCAAAGTGGCAGAGTGCTAGCCTTGTGCAAAAGAACTCAGAGAGAGAGGGCAGGCCCTGAATCCAGTCCCCCCCAAACCCCCAAAAAAGAAAGACATCTGGCAAAAGTTTCAAAAACTAAACCAGGCTACTGATGTGCATTTACTTGAAACTGGTACTAGTAGCTTATAATAGAAGCTTAAATCTGTTGTAAATATCTAATAACCACAGAGTTTTATCAATTTAATTTGAGCCACACACACAAAGAAAAAACTCCAGTAGTATATCTGATATTAAAGATCATTTCTACATAGAAAATAATTACTAGGATAAATATAAAGTAGTCAGATATATGCAAAAAGAAAGTAGACAAATATAAGCAATGCATAGAGAATGATGAGATGTCACATGGCACCACTAATGGCAATCATCATAGATGAGTTGAGATTACAGAAGTGATCATATCTTTATGACCAATGTAACACATTTTTGAAACCTAGGAATGATAACCTCCTTGTTTTGGATTAATCTTAGCTCCAGACTGTCATATCTGACCATGCAAGTTTAAGAAAATATGAAAACAAAACTAAAGGTGAAAACAGCATTTTTATTACTAAAACTTATGATCACACCACTGTTTTCTACCATACATCACACTGATAAAAAAAAAAAAATCACATCTTTAGCCAGGCGCTGGTGGCTCATGCCTGTAATCCTAGCTACTCAGGAGGCTGAGATCTGAGGATTGCGGTTCAAAGCCAGCCCGGGGAAGGAAAGACTGTGAGACTCCTATCTCCAATAAATCACCAGAAAACTGGAAGTGGCGCTGTAGCTCAAGTGGTAGAGCGCTTGCCTTAAGCTGAATTGCTGAGGGACAGCGCCCAGGCCCAGAGTTCAAGCCCCACGACTGACAAAAAAAAAAAAAAATCACATCTTTTTCTAAAAATTACTGGAATAGTTATAACTACAGATCAAACACTGAATTTAAAAAATACAGTGGTCTTAATAGTTGCTTGACTTATTGCCAGACATTAATCTGTCATTAACATTTTCAGAGCCCTTTGATTTATTCCTAGCTTACATTATCAGTGCCGTGCTAAATTTGTGACACCTTTTTAAATACATGATATGATTCAGATATTAATACCCATTACAACTTTTCTGGAAACCTATTTTAAATGTTATAAATTAAGGATGTGACTTTGTATAAAAGCATAGGAAAGTATTTAATGTGGCATAGAGTATGTTATTTAAAAATATTTTGAGATTACATATATTTGGGTTATACAATTATCCAATAAGCAGCCCAAATCATGACATTCCTTACAGTTCACTGAAACCAAACATGAATTTTCATGGAATATAGCTTAGTAGTAGAGCACTTGTTGAGATCCTGGATTCAATCCCCAGTACTGGAAAAAAAAAAAAAAAAGCAGTGTAATGCATAATGTGGCTTCTAATCACTGTTACCACCACCCCAAATAGAGCATATCTGTTAGAGTAAAAACAATTCAAATGTACTATGAAGACCTTAAATCCTTTACACCTGCAGTACTTACTTCATTCAGCCTAACACACACGATCCTGAGGACTGCTACTTCATCTAGGTGGAGCTTATATACCTTGTACTGGGAGAGCCCTAATTCATGAAAAAGATGAGGAAAAGATGACAGGACTGGGTAAAAAACAAAGAGACTGAAGTAAACTCTGCTGTTAGGGTGAAGAGCAACATAGATAATTACTATGGTTTGTGTTTAAGCTAGCAATTTGAATGATTATACTAGATGTCTACCACTACAAAAAGAATCCTAATTTGAAATGTATGTGTAACTGGACATATTAAAATGAATCCCTGTACAAGCAATTAATGCTAATAAAAAATCCTAATTTGAGAAAATTAAAATGAGTGGCCAATCTCCTTTCCATAACAATCAAGCACAATCTAGAAAAACTCCGCATTGCTTCATTCTCTATCCACAATATGAAATTTTGCTTTCCTTTTCTCTTTTGTCCTACCTTTGTTTGTTCTAGGCCTGCTTTTCCCTCCCACACATTACAGATGTACAGAGACAAAACCAAACTGCTCCGTGGAATTTCAGTACCACAGACTGTTACTACAAGACATCAAATCAACACACTAGATATGAAATAACCAACTTCAATCCTGTGGAACATTCAAGAAGGACTAAAATTAAGCCACCAAAACCAATCACAGAACCTCTGTGAGTAACTGGCTCAACGCAGCCCACAAACACAATCCCAAAATGTTTACATGTAATATTCTCCGTAAAGGATGAAAACGCTGTGTTGGAGGCAATAATCAGTAGCCTAGAGGAATCTCTTAAGCACCTAACTACTACAAAAGTTTTACTGAACCTCTGACTGAAAAACGACACTTTAAATATGCCACTCACTAAGGAAATGTAAACAAGCACCTAGACCACGGTAACAATATTGCTCAAGAAAGAATAAAAATACACAGCAAGTCTGTGATTTTAAACAAAAGCAATAAAGTAGGCGAGTAAACTAACAGGAGTATTTTCATGAAGATGGTAATCTGTGGAATTATTTGGGGTAACTTTTTCAAATCAAGATGTACCCCTAAGCTGACTTTGGGTGTGCCAATTTTAACTTCCAATGAATCGCGCGAAGGCTGCCTTTCTATTTGCTGCTAACTGCAGTCGGCGAGACCCGAACCCAATGAAGAATAGTTCTGGCGGAGAGAGGAGGTGCGTGTGCTCCAGGATGCCGCCCTGGGCGCGCTCGCCCGGACCAGCCTGAGCTGCGCGGGGGCTCGGGTCAGTTCTCTATGAGGGGGGAAAGGATGTTTTTGGCCCTCGCTCTTTAAGAATCCATTTAATAAGAAACCTCTCCTGGGGTTTTCTTCTTTTAATTAGAGCGCTACCAAAAGAGCCTCTCTTTTTAGAGGTTTGTGTTTTGGTTTTTAAATCATTCGGGTCGGGGGTGGGGAAAAGGTAAGAAGCAAGCCAGCGGAAGGCCCCACGCACCTGCGGATGGGGGAGCGTGATAGGGGGGGGCAGAACTGGCAGCCGGGATGGGATGGGGGGGAAGCGGGGTGACAAGTGGGCTGGGCTCGGGACCAGGCAGCGGCGGTTCCTCGGTGTGTATGGGGGGGGGTGATGCTCCCCGCCAAAGCAGTCACGACGCGCGGCCAGGGCGGCCAGGTGCCAACTCCAGGCCGGGGGAGGGGGCGACGCCCCCGGGCCGCGCGCCCCGTACCTGATGATGTCGTCGCTGTGGCCCCGGTAGAACTTCTGCCGGTGCTCGCGCGGGCTGTACACCACGCCGACGCCCGCCACGAAGTAGACGATCTCCTTGGCCGCCGTGTAGTAGAGGTTGTTGCGGCACTGGTGGCCCCGGTAGCCGTACACCCACTCGAGCCGCAG